GCCAGGCGCAGAAGCGATACAGGTTATCTGAATACACAAATTTTAGTCGAATTACAACCTCTCCTGGGGATTTAGATCCTTTTGAAGGTAAGACATTTCTCTGTCCCCTCTCTCTCTCTCTCTCTCTCTCTCTCTCTCTATATATATATATATATATATATATATATANAAAACGCTAACCATCCAATATGCTACTTGGGTGAGGATTCCCAGATGGGTGAGTGAGCCCAAATGTTATGCTTCTAATCTCCATGCAAAATTGCGCAAGTCTCTTTATTTATTGAGGTCAAAGTGATTAAAATCAAATTGGTCAATAATTGAATATCATTTCTGTATGAAATCTGGATGTGACGAAATATATTACTGATTATAGGTGTCCTGAAAGGGGTGGTCTAGCGGTCAAAGAGCTGTAGCAAGAGTAACAACCTTAGTAACCAAGGTTCAAATCTTAGCAAAGATGATAGTAGGTGAATTCTTCCCATCAGTTGGTTACCCAATAGCTCTACTAGTAGGATGTCACACATACTCTTGACTGTGTGCAAGTAGCTTGGAGATTATAGACTACTACTACAGTACACTACTAGCTGGAAAAGGCTAAAACAATCGGCATATCACACATGGTTTGTTTATTTTGTGCCCATAAACCATTAGTTGTTAACCATGATATCATATTACACTCACCAATGCAACTTTCATGGTGAGCCCTAGTTTTAGCGTGACTCGGCATCAATAATTTGGCTACAGGGGAAGAAACTATCGGGGTTGAAACATTATAAGATTTAAATCCTCCAGTTTAGATTGCATCAGAATTACAAGTGCGACTCATCGTGTTTGTTTCTTCCAGGTTGCAAGTTACAAAGGTCAAGGAAGAATAGCTGAATTTGGTTTCAAAAACCCAAGGTGGGTTGAGGGGGAACTTCTGCAACTCAATGGAAAGGTACTAAAATTGCTGTCCATCTTCCCTTAGATTTTCTATCTCACTGATAATAAAAAAGATGTAGGGGAGAGGTCCTTGTTTCTTTCTATTCATGTGCTTGTTAATTTTCATTAGGGAATGGGGCCGCACATGAAAGGTGCAGACCTTGGCTTTCTTTATGTCATTCCAGAGCACAGCTTTCTTGTACTCTTCAATCGTTTGAAACTACCAGAGTAAAGAGCAAGTTGGGTTAGCAGATTCCTTCTTGCAGCAGGTTTTTCCCTTTTGCCGGATAACTTATGTATCATTTTCATCAGAGAGGCATCACCCTGCAATGTGACTGAGAAAGTCAACCCTTTCCCCTCCCTTTTCGGCATAGTGAGTGCTTTGCTGTCCAATAATGGTACATCCTTTCAGTTTTCCTCTTAAACCCTAAAACTCATATCTTGTAAGCATACTTTTGCCAAGAGATGATCTGGAAATAATATTATAGTAGAGTTGAAATTCATATTAATGAGTTCCTCTTCTTGTACGGTCATAGAAAGTTGTCCATATTAGCTAATGAAGAAGATGGCATGGCAATGTTTTTGGAAGGCAGAATGTCACATCTTTTGGTGGCTTACTTTGCAATAAAGGCAGCTTCGATC